GCAGGTTAGGTCATGTAAAATTGTTTATCTTGAGGGCAGACCTTGTTAAAAATAACAGAATGTTGTGGCTATTTCAAATGGTTGCTTTTCCTCTCCTCTTTCCAGAAGCCTAAGGGGATTTTTCTCAGATTGTCACTGAGACAAGTCGGTACAGCTGGAAGTAGAACCCCATGTGAGGCCCTCTCTGCCTGGGCTCTCTGGAGGTTTAGCTCTTAGACTTTTCTACACTGAGCTTCCAGCAACTTGTCATTTCTAGTCAAGCTTTCCTACTCCAGCATTGGTTCCCGTGAAACGTTCTGCTCATAGGTTTCTGTTCTAGTAAGTTGTGATTATTTATATTTATCTGTCTCTCTAATTTTGAGGGCAGCAGTTTACCCTATGACCTTACTTTTCTGACTGATCTAAGAAGAGTTGCGGACTCCTCAGTTTTTTCTAGCTTTGTTGTTGTGGTGGTGGTTGTTAGGATAGAGTGATGAATTCTAAACTTCTCATATGCTAAACCAGAAACCAGAAGTCCCCTTTTCTTTTTTGCCCCCCATCTTGGGAAGCTGATAAGAAGGCCTAAGTGTTACATTATTGGTACCAGCAAGAAGCTTCAACTGTGCAAGCTCTGAGCTGCATGAGTGAACCCTCTCCTCTGGCCCCTGCCTTCTAACCACCATGAAACCTCAAAGCACTCTGACTCTCTCAAGCCAGTCTTGGACGTAATTGAAATCCTTCCTTGCTCTCTCCGGAAATCCTCACTGTGTGTGCAATAAACTTTTATGTATCCCCTTTGTGCAAATTTAGCATTTTGATATCTGATTCAAATGATGGATAGGAAATTTATTCTGTCTCTGTGGAGTGATCACAAACTCTTGCGTAGAAAATCCTAATGAGTAATGAAAACATTGAAACTAATAAACAAGTTCATCAAGGTCTTAAGATAATATACAAAATCAACTGCATTTCTATATAATAGCAAGTAACAATCTGAAAATGAAATTAAGAAAAGTCTCTACTAACATCAAAGAAGACAAAATTCTTTTTTTTTTTT